ACCTATTGGAATCAAATAGGTAAAGCATGAGACCTTCCCTACAAATATATAATAGGACAGAAATTAAGGGTAACTCACAGTTAGAGGATACATGCTATTAGTAGAATTCTACTAGTATACTAATGCAAATGCTGCAATCTGATTGGCTGAGCTACTCGTATACTATCAGCCACTAGAATGCAGAAGCTGTCGGTTGTCCACGAAATGCGATGTTTTTATTGTTTTTCTGAAGTTTTCGATGAAAGTTTAGATTTAAATGGATAATTATATTCCTGAGAAGACAAAAAGAAGGACATAAACAGGTTCTTGACGTTAAAAACTTGAAATTATTGAAAAACTGGCACGCGCGCATAAACAACTGCAAATTTACCAAGGACAATTCAATATGTGTGATTCTGTTAAAGCGTAAAGTTCAATAATGCGTCAAAATATATTTGGAAACCATTATTTGCGTTAATTTAAGTTAGAATTCTACTCAAACAATAAGATTATTCACTCTCAATTTCTATGAGGCGATAGTTGATTCGGCCTTTGGCCTCATCAACTATCACCTCATAGAAATTTCAAGCTCATAATCTAATTATTGTTAATAAGTATGGTCTAAAGATCAGTTAGTACAGTGGAAACCCCACCTTATGACCACCCTGTTAATACGGCCACCTTGTTACTGCGGCCACTTTATTCTGGCTCGAAAAAAGGCTCAGTCAGTCATTTTCTTATTTAAAGAACCCCTTTAACACGACCCTTCCGATAATATGGCCGGATTTTTGAGGCCCGTTGGTGACCGGATTAACAGGGTTCCACTGTTAGTAGTCATTTGACTTTGTGAAACATTTGTACAGACATTTACTTTGTACTTTCGGAAATTCTGTCGAAGGATATTAGTTGAGTACATAATGATATGTCTAGTAATAGTCCTGGTGCTGTTCACCGTTGAAGCCAAGATAGCGCTCTACAGTAAAGGAGCAAGCTATAACTGTAAATGGGCTACTCAGTTTTTGAGCACATGTATTTTAATACAAACCTGTTTGGTAGACTAACACAAGGTTTGCCCACTCACCAGCTAATCTCCATGTAAACTGGAGCAAAAAAACCATTCAAGGTATGAACGCATGCATATTTAAACCAGCAAAACGCATTCATATTGTTCCCATAGTCTAACCGATGCTTCATTTGTATATATGGAGATTAACTGATGAGTAGGCCAACCTTGTGTTGGTCTGTAAAAGAGATTTGCAAGTTACATTACAATCCACATGCACTCAAAAACTGAGAAGTCCATCTACTGTTGTAATAATGTCATGTTTACATACATGTACATGATTGTAGGAGAGTGTGGCAGAGAGCTGAAATGGAGACTCTATGATCAGGCTAAAGCAAAAAGGATCAATTAAGGCCGTTTGTAACCACATGGCATTGATGTGTGGACTTTTTCAGTATATCAGATTGCTTGATGAGTAGACACCTCACCTTGTAAAATGAGTCCAGTGATAACATGCTGACCCAAGGAACACCAAGCTGTTCAATGATCTTGTTTGCAACGGTTGTTTTCCCCGATGCACTTCCTCCACATAAACCTGAGGTGCAACATGGAGATTTCCACATACATTTGTAACATTCAGCAGTCACTACAATAGTGTATCAAGTTCCTTTCAGTTACTTTAAGTGGGAGGCACATCTCTTTGTGGACACTAAAACATTTAATTCAGCCGGTAACAGTACCAGCAGCTAGCACACATAAATGAGAATAACCCTTCAATCACAAGAATTCCCCTTAAATCACACCATTCTGTAGAATACTCAACAGGTAGCTGCGCAATTCTATCTTTTGTTTATTGTGCACTTGCTGTAAAAATTCTTGCTCATTCCACAGAGTCATTGGAAATTCCTAGGGTGTGGGCTATCTCAAAAGTTATTAATAATAATAATTAAAAATAATTATTTTGAAAGAAATTGAACAGTGTGTATATCCAGAGAGGTGGGAATGGGTGTTCAAACAAGAAAGCTTCCTTAACTGTCAGGGATACCGTCATTAAGTGAATCCTTCAGCAAGACAAATTTGATGCTATTTTTGGCAGAAGATTAATTTGTCCAAACCTGTAACTTCATTTCATGGCAAGAAAGTAGCCAACTTTACCAGGAAAAAGAAACAGGTATTACTTTTCTCTGTTGGTTGTGGGTGACAATAAAGAGCTGCCGCATTATTAATTACACATAATTAATATTTAACTTTAAGTACTGCTTTACCTATAACAAATGGCTCTTTGAGTTGTCCGTGAACATTGTACCATGGAGGGCGGCCTAAAAAGGGAAAACAAACAATTTTAGAGATAAATGTGTTAGTTTGGGGAGGTTAACTCCAAGGTCAGTTTTTTTTATATTGTTGGACAGGACATCATCTTAGCTTTATATGGGCTGTGCATAGACTACAAAAACGTAGGGAAGTAGTCCACAGGCAAAATGAGAATAAGTCTCTAATTTTACTTGTGCATACTCAACACTCTGGGGCATTAATTTCAGTTCTGTGTTATTTCTGGAAAGCTACCATAAAACATCACTCTTCTTAGTTAGTTAATGGCCTTGCTCATCATGGTTCTCTCTGTAGTTCAGCAGCTAGGACATTTGACAGATATTGGGGGGTCATGGGTTCGAATCTCCTCAGGGACTGAAATTTTTTTCTTTGCCGCAAGCTTGTGACATACCAAAACATTTCATCTCTCGCATTTATCTACCAAGCTTAACATTTACCATCTTAGTTTCTTTATTTATCCCCACATGGGATGCTTTTAGCATTGCAGATCCTAGCAGTATCCAGAATGTGTTTTCCAGATCATGGGGTTGAGTAGAAAAAGTTTGGTTTCTAGAAACTTTTGAAATGTGTGGCCCCAGTCACAAACATGATCACGGCTTCATTAAGTTTAATATGATGTTCTAGTAAAGTTGCTGTTACTGATGGAAGCAGTTCCTTTGCATTCAATAACACTGGCAAGGATGGAGAAATTGCTGGCTGTCACTGGCAGCCAGCCACTATTTTAAACCCTGAGTTACTCTATGTTCTCCTGCATCTCTTAAAAATCATCCTTATAAAGTTCTTTTAATTAAGTCTCTCCATTTGCACGCAGTTAGATCACCAATGTTAAAAAGAAGAGGAGAAAAGGAAGATTGGCAAAATATCAAATACAATGACGTCCAAAACAGCACTGCTATTATTTCAAGACAAAGGGTAATTTGCAAGGTAGATTTTACATGCCAATTATTAGAGCTTGGAGTCCAATCCTTGATTATCTGGACTCGTTAGGACTTGTCCAAGTAATCATGATAATCAAGGCTCTGCGTGATAAAAGGTGAATGCAAAGAAATCATAAATCAAGGCCTTGGCAAAAGTCGGGGTGATATAAAAGTCTTAAAAATCAAACTTGATTGAGATTTAGTAGCACATAATATGGCAATGTTATCCTGGATATGTAGCCCTGTGACTCTTTTGTTCTTCTTAATTAATAAACTTTAGAGTCTCATTTATTATCTCCCCCTAACATACTTGCATTTTGTTCATCAACTTTAAAAATAGTCAAAGAGAAGAGAAAGATACAAAATGGGAAACTTTTCAAAATAAAAATTTTTGACATCAGCTGCTATTTCAAACCCAAAGCATATTTATTTGCTAAAATTTTACACTTTGATTATTACAGTGTAAGTACAGCTTGGAATTGTTTCTGATCAATTAACAACTACTTAAGATTGAAACAGCTGGCATTTCAAATGATTTCCTATGACAATGCTCAAAATTTCAGCTCTTTAAATCTGAAGCAGTGGTTGATTCAGCTTATCACCTAAAGTATCACAAAAAATCTAACTTAAAACAGTGATGCACGAAACATTTTGTTACTTAATGTAAATGTTTCAATATGTTGCAAGTTGTTGAAGCAACAGACAAACTGCTATGGCTTTTACCATCACAGTACCAATCCATACACATAAGCATATTTAACATTATGTCAGGTGGTAAAAGCCTTCTTTAAATATTCATTGCACAACACATGAATTCAACATTCTCTGATCTGGAATCAACAGAACCATTTGTTGCTCAACAAACGCAAAACATGTAACTTAAGTCTTGCCAAGTGGTTTGAAAACAATGGTACAACCATTTGCAAGTTAAACTACATTGTATAGAACTTTTATCGTAAATATCTGGAAAAGATTACTCTAGTTTTACCCTGGTTTTATTCACAATTTTTCATGAGGAAACAGTTATCAAAATTAGCTAAAACTGTAGACTTTTCATAAATCTATACACTATGTCCAAGAAGCATATTCCTAATTCATACAAAGGTGAGCAGGGTTTGCATAGTGGTGAGAGCAAAATCCTCCCACAAAAGTGGCCCTGGATAGATTCTGGCCTGGTGTCATTTGCGGGTTAAGTTTGTTGTTGGTCGTTATCCCTGTGCAAGAGTTTTTCTCTGGGACCCCCGGTTTTCTGCGCTCAAGAGGAAACCAACATTTCAAAATTCCAGTTCAAGCATGGAGAGTGGACCAGCAAGAAACTCGGCCAGGGCTGGCATGGTTTTCTCTCTTTATGTAATGATTAACTTCAATTTTTTTAGATTTTTTCAAGGCCAAACAATGGTTACCTAAACTCTACACCTCCCCACTAGATCTCCTCCTCATTTCACAGGGGAGGGAGGGCTGTATAAATAAAAAAGGTGGCCAATAATTGGTCAAAAATTATACATACTGCAATGGACACTTTGTTTAAGTTCTGTTATCCAGTTTCCACAGGCGCTATTAGCGAGCATCCGTTCACCAATAGTAGGTTGTTTAAATTTAAACTTAAGCTTAACTAAAATTTTTCCTTAAGCTTTCACTGGTGGGCGACAAAAAAAAGCGGCATTCCCTAATTTGCTTAAAGTATTAAGATCCCGAAGTAAATAATATAAGGAAGATATAAATTTAAGCTTACCTGCGGTGTAGATGGTTTTGTTTGAGCGACGAAACACTCGCACGTTTTCCGGTTTGGACTTCAACGGAGAACTCGGAGGCTCTTTCAGATGTGATGGGGCGCCATTAGGACTATCAAAAACCACACAGCAAAGTTAAGTTGCCCAGCAAAGAGGAGAACGATAAATGGCACATTGAAAAATTACCTTCCGCAGCTTCCTGAACTGTCTTCATTCGGAGAAATTGATCTTAAATCTAATGTCAAGCCACATGGGCTTTCAGACTTTGCCGCCATGTTTGTCGCTGCGTGATAACGTCCGCGCATATTATAATGGTATCTACCGCTGTACAATAACATCCCCTGCAGGCGCCATCCAGCTTGTCAAAAAAATTTCCCTCGCGGAAAAAATATCGCAGGTTATGTCAAAAAATCAAAGCTCTAAATTTACCAACCAAGTTCCGGCCTCTACGCCCACAAAATGTTTTTTGCATTAACAAACCAATTGCTTTCTTCATAAAAGAGTTGAAATTGTCTTGTCTACCGCAAACACAACTGAGTAAACCACGACTACAAAGACAACATGGAACCTTAAACTCGATCCAAACGCCGAGAAAACCAATAAACCCGACAGGGAATATTAAAATTTTAATTTCTTCTCCTTGGTGTGTTTTGGCTGTCATGATACCAGACATTCGCGACCATTTACAAGTTACCTTCTACAATAACATGCAAATTGCAACTAAACTTAATGTGTTTTGTTTTCGTTCTTTCTGGTATCCACTGTCGCCGAGGGCGAAAAGGGGAAAACGTGCTTCAGCAATTTCGAGTTTTCTACTGATATTTTCTATTTTGAGCTTTTGGTAACGATTACCTGTGCGACGTCAAAAGTACCCTTTTCTGGGCTTTTAAATTTTTTTTTTTTTAACATAGTCAAGCGATTCACTGCATTTTGACAGGTGAAATATTCCAGCAGACTTGTTCAGGTGAACAATTAACAGTTTTAGGCGAAACATTTTAAACAAATCCTGCCATTTTCGGCTCGATTTCGATCTTTTACTCTCACAAAAATCGAATAAACAAAATAAACTTGAGCATTCGAAGAAAAGAAAACGACAGAGTGAACTAACAATAAGACCGTTTTAGGGGGATTATGGCACTTGCCTGAGCGCGAGCGTAGCTCGTACCAACTAAAATTTTAATTGCCATTGTTCACTTGTGTCTCGGTCGCTTGGAACTGAGAAAAGAAAATTTTCAATTAGCTACAAAAGGAAAATTCATGATGGATTAAACCGCAGAAGAAAAGAGCATATATTCGCATGGTTTTTAGTTGTCGAGACTTAAAGTCTTATATTTTTAAGTGACACTAGTGGAATACATAAGCTGAAAGTTCTAAAAGTGCTTGAACGTATGGCGTGGGCGGTATCTAAAGTGACGTATGTAATGACATAGCCCGCGGGATACGTATATTTATTAGTCTTCAACCAACAAGTAGAAACGTCCGCTCAAATGTTAAAAGTGGCCAGCTAATGGAACGTGTTTTAGATCGGTGGAATATCAAGAAAAACCGCATCTGCGTTCAGGGAAGTGACACGATTCTACTTCCCCCAACGGCTTTTTTTGCTTCGTTTATGATTTGACAAGCGCGTGTTTATTCAGTGTTTGACAGCTCGGAGATTCGTATTCCATTCTTGATACAGGGTTGACTGGCTCGCATTGTTCACAAACAATATTAAAACATGGTGAATGCGGCTTTCAAAGACGAAACAATACGTGCGTCGGGTTGACAAGAGTAACTCCGGCAACCTTAAAAGGCGTTAGATACTTTCGCAATTTCAGAAAAATAGAGAAAAAAGAACAGCGATCTAATTTCCCCGATTGAAACAACCTGTAAAATCTTAGAAGCAGCAGCCAAAACAAACCGTTGGAAAAAGTTCGTACCACCTAGTAGTTTGCCTTTCAGTAAACTCCGCAAATAATTTATTCCTGTGGCTTCTAATTTGGTTTTAGTTGGAATATAATAGCGCATCGTGCGATGCTCAATTTTCATAAACTGAATATCCATCTATTCCAATATACAAGATTGGAAAGCGAGCCCTTTAAGAGCCAAGGGATCCCCGGGCGGTACATCACTACATGGAAAAGCAAAGTAACCAGAGATAGAGGCCGTATTTATTGAGAAAATTTCATTTTTGCCCATGACACAGGATCTTTAATGTTTGTTTTTGTGAAATGAAACAAAACTTTGATAATAGACTTGCGAAAGGGCAGTCAAAATTGGCGTTAGGTCCTGAAACCTGAAGTAAATAAAATCACCGTATATCTCGGTTCCACGTGGAAAATTTTCCCAGTTGTCCACGGAAGCCAATGAAATTCGAGCGCAATTTAAATAGATTGTCACTCTAAGCCAATCGCGTGCCGTTATTATATTGTAAATTACACAAACACACAGCAACGCACCGCTGCACACACGCTTTCATCTGTCATTAGTGTCAAAGTCTCTTCGCTGCTGCAGGTTTCGCAAACAGTGCTCTGCTTCAAATTCTACGCCTCATCCTTTCTCCTTCTAACACAAGGACAGCTCGGGGACGCGTTCCGGCGAGAGACATGGCTCCCCACACAGGCAAGGCAACACGGACGAAGCGTTACCGTAAGTTACGGAAGCCGGTTAAATGAATGTCATTTGTGTCCAAATGCGCAACGCCTCTCGAAGTCTGAATGAATGAGTTGTGCTTTTCGCAGTGTCGAGTTAAGCGTTTGTTGGGGGGGAAAGATTTTCGCTTGGGATTAGATTTTCTTCTTATAGGTCAAGTCTGTGAGTTGTGGAAAATACGATTCCGGTTTTTGCGTTTCTAGAGAATGTAGAGCTCAGACAAGACTTGTCTCGTGATTTCACTGCGGTTGTTTCGCTGCCGATGACAGTTGAGATAGTTCATAAGATCAATACATGTCTGGTGCGGTAATAGAATGATGGCGTTTACATCCTCCCGAGACACTCACATCTCTGTCCATGGACAGTCAAGAACTCGTGTTTTACTCTAAATCGTTTCTAAACCATTAATTTTTCTCTCCCGCAGTGGACGAAAACGTGGAAAATATCAGAGAGGAAAGCGAAAGGGTGCTTCGCGCATCACGTGTCACAGCGAGCCCACCGCCCAAGAGAAGAAGAGGTAACCTACCTAAAGATTCAGTTAATGTTCTTCGAATGTGGCTGTGGGAGCACAGATTTAACGCTTATCCTTCCGAAGCGGAGAAACAGTATCTATCGAAGGCCGCCAACCTATCTGTGCTTCAAGTATGCAACTGGTTCATCAATGCGCGAAGGCGAATACTGCCGGAGATGATTCGTCGCGAAGGACGAGATCCTAGCAATTACACGATCACGCGAAGAGCGAATGTGAAAAATCCTTCTCCGAACAGCTTGTACCAACGAAGTTTAACGCCCAGCCCCGAGCCGCACTTCGATAAAGACTTTAACCGGCACGAGCAAGAGTCGTATTTTCCTGTTTGTGATTATCAGGGACATTTTGAATACGTGGGCTGTCATAGTCCTTCCTCGCAAGGGCAACAGGAGAGCGACACAGAAATGCCGGCAAATGAACAAACTGCTCAAACACTAGACGCTTTCAGCAGTATCAATTTATTAGTGGAGGTCGCTCTGAATATGGACGAATTTCGTAAACAAGGAAAAAATTGCTTTCAAGGGTTATCTTCATTGTCATGCTAACTTTAAGGCAATTTGAAATTTATATCGCATGTAGACTTTGTGTTTTGTCATTGTACCTGGGAATCCTTTGTACATTATAATGAATAATATATCGTTGGTTCGCCGACCAGAGGGCGACTTGACAAGTTGCGTTACCTGCACCAAGGGTAACTCGAATAATGGTTTCACTTGCAAAACGCGTTTCGTCCGATCTCGGGGGCATCGCGCGAGATAATTCGAACCCATTCCGTGCTTTGCGCGCGCCGGCCGTCCGCAGATTAAAACACAGAGTATCGCGAAATTTAACAAGTCCGAGATTATGTAAATGTGCTATTGTTTTGTCGAACGCTGTGTAAATAGAATTCTAAACTGACGTTGTGACAGACGAACGAACTGTCAAGTGACAAGACTTCCCTGCCGGTGACATGAAAGCGAACAACCAGCGTTTGAAATTAACTTGTCATTTGTTTCCAATTTTCTAGCATGGTTCGGTAAAGCGAGCCAGCTTTGACATTTGGTCTGACATTAAAAATCGAATTCTTCATCTAGGCTCTTGTTGTGTTGTTGTTTCTTGAGCGTGCTTTGTTCGAGTGCTAATTCCGTCCTTTAATCCTCAACTGTCCTAATGACCCGTGGACCCCGCATATATGAATTGCCGTGATAAGTTTCTCGCCATATATCAGCCTTATCAACAGCTCTCTCTTTATCAGGCCAGAATATCGCACTTAAATCTCGCAATAATAACCTTAAAAACACCCGGAATATATAGAAAACCGAAAGGAACAATCATTCATGCAAATTTAACAGTTAATCTGACACCCAGATCAAATTTACAGACCAAATTACTGAATCGTCTAAAACTTCCCGAAGATTAAAACGACAGTTTGCATGGCTTTTTTTCCGGTAGGAAAAATCGCTCTTTAAACGGGGAAAAAAATTGCCACTGGAGACATTATTACGTGCTGAACGGGTCAATATTGTTTTTAGGGCTTTATTACAACGGAAACCATTGAACATCCGGGTTTTGATCCCAGCAAGGTCTCAGACCACCAGAACGTCCAACTTCTACAAAATCGGCTATTTACTAATGGCAAAGGTATCTTTTTTTTTTTTTTTTTCATTTTTACAAGCGTCTCCTTCGGTGCGCAGACTAAACTTCATTCTCAAAGGACTGGATAGTTTCCTATCGTTTCTTTTGAATCTTGTTTGATCAAAGGTTCTATTGAATCGTGTGGATCAGTAACACATTTGTTCCGGGCATTCTCAAGCATTATAAAAAACAACCTGTCGGAACAGCTGATAAAAGTGTTAAAACGTATGGTTTGTTTGAATGTTTTGCTCTGTTTTATTGATAAAAGGCTTTGATGGACACAGTTCTCCGGAAAATATTTTGCCCATCAGCGAGATGATATCACGGTATTCCAGTTGTAGTTTTAATATTTGTATGGATAACATGGGGTAATTTCAAAGGGAAGGCCACAATTATGGTACACGGATGCGCTAACAGGACTAACAGGTCAGCTTAAAGACAAAGGGACAAAGGAATCTACAGCCGCTCTTTAATAAACAATTCCTCCCAAGGAGAAACTGAGGATTACTTTCAATGGCGCTTAAGTTACACGGCTGAGTAGAAATTTTCGACATAACCAAAGAGATCTGAAGACCAGATATAGTTAAGCATAAGCCAATCTCCTACAATCTTTGTCACAGAGAGACAATGGTAATTGGCTACTTAAACGCTACTCTCGGACACTAACTCTCTCGAATCGAATGTCACCTACAAAACTTAGCGCCATATAAGCGAACGATGGGTAACAAAACAGGGCGAGAAAGAGATCAATTGATATTTTTCGCGCTAAAAGCGTGCTTGAAAAGATTTTAGAGAGACTCTCAGGAAAACACATTTCTTTGTTCAATTTTACGGTATTGTCGGCGTAAACAATCGTAATTTTACTAAATAAGCTGCAGATAAATGGTTTCTTTGGAGACAGCAATACTTTTTAACCATGCGCTCGCTGATTTCAACCTAGCTGTAAGCCAATACAGAAAAATTGTACCCCGTCAAACCGCACTAAGTACATCCATTTTCGTTAAAATGATCTTATCGTTTCACTTTCAATCGAAAGGGCTTGAAATCGAAACTGGGAAGCTACCAAAGTTTCAGTTAAAATTGTGCATTTATCTCATTGAGTCGATTTCGAATTTTGTAGTCAACGACATGGAAACTGTTTTGATGGAAAAGCCAGTCATCCTAATACAAGAAAGCTTAGACTTCCAGGCAAGCAGGTTGTTTGTGTGCCAGCGGCAGTTTTGACAAGTGCTACCAACCAATTTTTATTTTTGACAACTTTGTACTGCATAGCTGCACTAAAAGAAAGTAACGAAATACCTCATGGACAAGCCAAGTATTAATTTGCAAGACACCCGAACCGTTTGTCCAATTATTTATTTCGTTTTGGGTATCACTCTGTGGTTTTTCTCCACGCAACTGACGTATTTGCTGTCACTGTGCAACCTTTCGCAACCTTTTGCTATCATTTCTCAAACACGCTTAGTATAGGCCAAACATTATAATGAAAATTCACAGCAATACTTTTCCAGCCGCGAAATTTAGGTCACACCAAAGCTACTTATTACAAAACAAGAAAACCCTGAAAATACCAAACAAAAATGGTACGTGCAAAAAGCTAATTTTACATAGCTCATCGAGTTATCCAATCAAAAACAAAGCAGCTGGCAGATGTAAATAACATTGAAATTAGGCAGCTTATTAACTAATGCATTCAACTTCTCAAAAAGATTACAAACTCGGCTGGCCAATGCTAGGTTTTTGGCAGCTTGACGCGAAATGCTGGAAAATTGAAATACTCTAAAATGACTCACAGATGCTTCAACGCGAAATTATCAAAAACTGACAGGTGAAGCCGAGGAACAAGACGTTTTGGGCATTTGAGGAATTGAATCCGCAACTTGTTGCGATAATTGGATTTTTAAATAAATGCTTCCTGTCATCTTTGTCAGGCCGAGGTTGATATTGTGATATTTTAGTTAAATTCCTTTTAAATTGACGAGTCAACTTCAGTTTTCAAAGATGTAAATAATCGCATTTCCCAATCAGTAAACCTTTCGCAGCTGGTTAAACGAGCAAACTGAAAGAACATTTTGACGACAGTGCTATTGACAATGAGAGAAAAAATCCCTTTTCGTTTGAACGGAAGCCATAGCAATTATCTGTATACTTTAAAATCACCTTTTTACCATCAGTTATGCAGTTCAATGTGAATAAAGGAAATTCAAGATAAAATTTAACCATTTTAACCGAGTCAAATGATCAATAGATAAAAATTCTACAAATCGTTCTTGCTTAATTTCCAGTACAATTTCACTAGCACTCAACAGCACTAAAGAGGTTTTAAGTCGACTCTTTTAAGAGAAGATTATAAATTAGAAATAAGTTACTTCTTATAGTGAATGGGCTGAAAATCAGGCTTTTTAACATAACCTTCCTTGTTGATACGCATAAGTTTTAAAGCTATGTATCTATGATGATGCCATGGAGAAAATAATGTCAATTTTTTTAATGGAAAAAATCAACACAGGACAAATGAAAAAATAATTTTGATATTCCTTTTTCCTGAACAAAGTGTATTTACAACTCGCAACCTTCAAGTTAAGCGGTTTTCAAACGGTTTGATTCTGACCATATCAAAATTTATTTCAGTTATGAATTTCTCAGTCTACCTCGGAGAAAAATGCAGTTTCCTATTAAACTTAAAGTGTAGTCGAATGCTACTCCTCGGTATGACATGAGTTCCAAAAGCACGTTTAAAGATGCGCTTATCATAAAATTCTCTTTTTAGTTACAAAGTACAAATTCTGTCCGAGATATCCTCTGTTGGGTTTATTTAAACAGAACATGTTCCGAGTGACTTAAAATGTATTTTTCCACATTTTGCCGCACACAGAATATAAGGCATTTGGTTTCTTTCGAGCCGAAGGATATATCTTCAAAAGTTTGCATACATTGCCCGATACAAGCTATTTATACTTCTACACAGGGTGAAATAGTAAGCTTTTCTTGTGAGGTTCCCCATGTATTATTATTTGAGGAAATAGAAATGTGTCAGTCATAGACACTCAAAAGTGATGGCTGCTGACTCACGTGTAGTGTGACTTGACCTTTCTTAGTGCACACGAAGTTGCTAGTACGGCGGAGAATTCCGTCAAAGATGCCGCAAAAAAAAAAAAAAAAAAAAAAAGGGGACGTGTTCTGACAAAAGTGCAATTTAAAATTCAATTATAAGACGGTATAGTGGTTTCGTCTTATTGTCAGGGTAAGAGTTTTTGTTGTTATGGATAACAACACAATGAGTAGTAATCTTTAGAATTAAAAGAGAGGTTCTTGCTCAGATAACAATGCTAAATCTCTGGTTTATGACCAATCAACATCCACGCACTAATTGCTAACTAAAAGTAGTATAAATTTACTAGCGTTTTATCAAGAATGCATGACGAATGAACTATCCTCGTTATGGTAGTGTTTAGTGGAGTACGGCGCCACAACTCACCNCAAAAAAAAAAAAAAAAAATGAAGGGGACTGAATTATTTAAAGGAGAAAACTGATCTGCTAAACCTCTGAGCACTGCTGCTGAAAGGCTGTAGCCATAGAATAAGCGTTTCAAAGCGAATAAGCGTTTCAAAGATTATAACATGATTGTCGTACAAAAGTTGACAATAAAGAAACGTCAATAATCCATTCTAGCTCATTCTCTGAATTCACACTGTAAAGACAACTTTGCTATATTGGTTTCCCAAAGTGAGCGAAAATCCCATTGAGTTGGGCTTTACTGAGGTCGTACGATTTTCTAACGTTAAAAACATTTCTCTCGTACCCTTTTACCAACCTCTGTCCCAAACTAGAAATTCTCTACTTCATATCGATTAATAATAGTCCAAATCCAAAACGTCGAGGTGCAAAATCACTTCGAGGAGGTCTGTCATTTAACTTATTTCGGGAAAGACAAAACTCGCTTAATGATTTCGCACGGAAGATCAATGGAGGTGCAAAAAACGCTCGCCGGAGTTTCAGACATTTCCAAGGACAACTTAGAATACAAAGCTTCCCTCACTTCGCGAAACGTTGCTATCATAATTTTAAAAATAGAAAATTACCACTTGCAAATGACTTTTCAAAATGTATCAGGGTTTGATTTTATTTTTCCTTCAAAGAGATTTTTAAGTCCGATCATTTTGAATTTCTATAAAATCTGTCGGTCTATACACAGTAAGCAAGCCTTTGGGAAGTCACATGGTCAATACAAAAAGCGCCGTTTCAAATGAAATACCTCATCACTTATTATGCGATTTAACTGTCCAAAAATATGCTTTAAATGCACACAAACTGTGTGGCTACAGTCGTCGCCACCTTTGCCCTCGCGTGCTCGCTGCCGGAGGAAAGGAAGGTTCTTTGCAGACTTTAGATCAGTCTTGCAGACCAAAACAATGTTTATTTTGGTACCCCATCCCAGACACTCCAGACCAAAAAGGCGGGAAGCTTCCTTATCTCTTTCTAAATTAATAATTCAAATAGTCTCCCCGCCGAGGTAGGTCAAATGCAAGTAATTCGTGCGCAAAATGCAGTGCAAAAATATGTTTATCGCAGGTTTTTGCCCATATGAACGGAAATTTTCTTACCAATTTCAGTAAAATTAAAGTACTAATTGAACTACGATCGGTGTAAACAAGCAATTTTAAAACTCTTGAACAGTCAGGATTATCGCGTTTCTGATCAAGGGACGCCACTGTATGTGACACTACTTCTTAGTCGGCTTGGACACGCCCGAGCTGCGCGCGAGTGGCGAAACCCACGAATCGCGAGTGTCTCCAACGCGCACACGCGCGACAAAGTTAGACATGCCATGGGTCATTTGTGCCACGCGCAGAATTTTCGCCCATGTTTCGTACGCTTTCGCTCGCCTGTTTATCGCTTTCTTCCTTTTTCCCTGCCGCAATTGAAGAAAACCAATACACAGGCCGACATCATGAGAAGTAGATAATATATGTGTCAAGCTCCCATTGTGGCTCCTGGCTGGCAATAAACACAATATTGACAGTATTGACATAACTTAGGTACGTGACTAAAAACCAAAGATTACTATAAAGCCTGAGATGATACAGTGCATTAGGCAGATGACGTTCTTCTTCAATGCTCCACTGAACTGATTGATCTCTTGAGGTTAAACGACTTCACAACAGGACGGCAATTCCCAAACCATATTTCAGCTTTGTGTCTTTTACAAGACAAGGCGTGCTATCGACTGAACAGTGATCAAATGATCTTAAAATGACCAATTGTTCTGAACAGGTCTCAGCAAGTGCTGTTTACTTCTCGGGTCAAGTCCCAGATCTTGATATGCGCCACGAAACTGCACAAGTGTTTTTTGTTCGGTCGCTAGTAAATAAAATCATTAAATTTCCTTTTACGTTTAACGCGAGGCTTATTTTTATCCCAAACAAGTCCTTAAAATAGACCGTGGTTAAGGGCACTCTCTTAAACCCACCCAAACCGGCGCGTGCAGATTGCAGACCAAATGAACTTTCTATAATGTGAGGAACAGGAATTTTTAAAATGTCACATACGGATGACTACGTTAAGGACGACAGGAAACCTACAAAGAGTAAATACCGGATGAGCCCTGCTGACCGCAAAGTCTGGAATTTTTGAAACAAAGCTTTTTTAAAAAATATAGTTATGTTATGCCTTCTCAAATTGCACCGTATTGTCATATTGTTTTCGTCTCTAGCCTCTGTTCTCCTTCTCTCTGCATCCACTTCAAAGACCAAATGCACCCCCCCACCCCGGTACAATGTTTGACCTCAGCATTCAATGGAAGTTGGGGGGGGGGGGGGCAAGAGGGTAAACCAAACAAGTGCGTCATCTGTTGTAAGGCACTATGTTGCAAAGTTGCAACTTAATGAAAGGGCATTGCGCGGAATATTGACTCCGTCCAGTTTTAAAAGCTTTCGCCGGGGCCTCCGGCAGGATCTCCGCGCCCCGGGGAGCGAGTTAAGGCTGCAGATTGAACATTGCCTGGCTCAACAGCGCACAGAGAAGGCAGTCGTTTACAGAAAAAATCTGGTTTCCATGATTCAGTGCAGCAAAATAGAGGGATTGCATTAGTCCCATACGCAATCTTACGTCACGCACACAATCTTACGTGACCCGCATTGAAGCGACTGGGCTACACCTAAAGCTCACTTAGGACTTTAAGGGGGGCTAGTTGACAGTGAGCTCTCTCCTAGCCCAACTAATCAATGTTGTTTTTACACCAAACGAATGGCTCCCATTTGATCTCAATCAAGGGTCTTAGTAAAAGTATGCTCTTGTTTTAATTTATCTCAGCAGTTTTTGCCTGCAAATGTAGGGCAGTGGAGAAATGCGACCACAAAATAAACCAACCAAACCTTTATTTACACAAAACAACATAATTCAAGTATCTGGGAAAACAGAGAACCAAATTTAGGGCAGCGGAGAAATGCGACCAAAAAATAAATCAACTAAGCCTTTATTTAGACAAAACAACATAATTCAAGTATCTGGGAAAACAGAGAAAATAAAATGAGAAAAAATGTGATTCTCAAACTTTAACCCTAAACCCCTGGCAATATAAAATAAATATATTTTGGGCATGAACTGCTTCTTAAACAACGTTTTCTCGAATTGTGTCGAAACATCATTCTAAATAGAGGATGGTTATTTTGAAAGCGAAACCGCGATTCCTGGAATGTCAGTGTCATTAATATTTCACCCGAAACACTAAACCGTATTTTGGTACATAACTATAAATACATCAGGTTAATGTGTGTGATAACAGATATTCACGTGGTGTTCTATGTACGACGATGACAACTACCTCGTTCCAGGGTCTCTTGTCGTGCCGCCCTTCTCCCTCGCTCCGGGTGCAGAGCGGAAAAACGTAATAAGCATGCGCGAGTTTCGGAACCGCGCCAGGCTCGAAGTTTGAAGAAATGGCGGGAATTTCGTCGATCGAAAGTAGCAACATTTTAACGTCACTGATGGAAGACCATGGGAAAGCTGGTGTATTGTTTTCGTGGGGAATCAATTTTCTTCGGATAAACTGAACCTGAAGAAGGTTTCCGAACCCTTTATTTCCCCGAGGTATACAAGACATCACGGTGCGAAGACTTTTTTTTCACCAACACTCTTTACGTATTGCATCCATATAAGCACACCACTGGATATATAAGCAAGAGAGCCTTTCAGCAGGCAGGCAGGGGGAGCCTTGTTTTCTTAACAGAGAAATGCCGAAAAAAATTATGGTTGCCCAAGTATAAATAAATCAACCGAGCGACATCCTCGCGTACCTCGTTAGCAGTCCGCCGTGTATTATTACCTGAGCCCGCAAGTAGGATTAGGGATGCGCAGAAAGCTGCGCAGTACGTTTTTCCGCTCTGAACGCTCCGGGAGGGCGGCGAGATGAGAGACCCTGGAAACGAGGTTGCCTTCACAAGTGAAGTGCTTGACAAGTCTTTCGAGTGCGAGCACGAGAACCACTTCTGTTAATTGACAAAACAGTTCTCTGTACGTTCAGTTTCACTTAACACACACTTGCCACCATATCATTATGGCACGAATTGAGTAGTCCCGGAGCGCAGACAAAATTGCCCGCAGTCTTTGTTTCTCCAATACCTTGCAAATGCTTACGTCTTCATCTTCACTGGGTCCACGGCCGACAAAACAAAGTTTCTGTTATTTAAAGTAGTGAATACCTTGTTCATCGTCCCAGGCCACTCTGTGCCTATTTTCGCGATACAACGCCTCGTGTGTATCGAACCAGGTATCACAGTCAAACTCGGGAAAGAAAAAAGTGATTTCTTTTTTGGCAGAGTCATCTGAGTCTGCAAGAAGAGAAGGAATCCTTAATTAAGGCCTATTCCAAACGTCGTGCTACTGCCGTGCCGAACTAAATTCAAGAATTAAATTCGACTTAAACACGGCAGCTACACGACACGTTTGAAACCACTCAGTTTGGCAGACTGAAATAAGTTCGGCACGACTACTTAGCACGGTAAGTCTTGCCGTGCTGCACGGTAGTTACGCGACTTGGCCTCAAACGGCGTGTTCTTGTCGTGCCGAACTGAATCATAGCCTGCTGCATCAGCTGCCGTTGCTTTCTAGCATTTAAAATGGTCTTCAGCAAAGCAAATTTCATCCGATCTTCAGCTCGACTGAGTTAAATCGACGTTTGTAACCACTGCTTTTTTCTGTCATGCCACTGCCGCGCCGGGCCAAATTCATTTGAGTTCGGCACGGAAATGGCACGACGTTTGGACTAGGCCTTAGTTCCAGGAATTCGGCCAGATTTCTAACGCAGGTAAGATCGAGAAAGGGAGCCGGGGGGTGACAAATGGTTGTCAGCTAGCCTTCAAAACTCAATCCATGTAACATTTAAATTAAGAGAAGAGATCAAAAAGTTAGAGAGGTAGAACCTAGGTTCTTCCGCGCACAACATTCCTATGCACGTTGCGTCGATATTTTCGTAAAGGATAAGAATGCGTGTAAAACCACTTGGGTTGTCCACGTGTGTAAAACTCCGCCTCACAGGATCGGCTGTTTCTAGACCCTCTATAGATTTTCCAACCGCGATCCCAGGCTCTCTCAACAAAGGAGGCAAAGGAGAGAGGCTGGAATCTTGATTTGATTTGAATTAAACCATCGCAGGGGACTCCCTTGATTTGAATTAAACCATCGCAGGGGACGGTAAAAAAGGCGCGGCATACCTGAACCGTGGGTAGCATTCCTAGTATCACTTATGCCATAAAGCGCTCTGATACTTGTGGGAGCGAGATCTCTGGCCCTAAAAAAAAACATCATCTAATGTAGATGAGAGTTCACCACAATCATTTTTTGTCATAGGTTCAGTTAAATTTCTTGAAACAAGTCGAAACCTCTAATTAGGCAATCGTTTTTGCAAGAGAATTTTGTGAGACTTGCTAGCTCATTACCAATATTACAGAGAGTGGCAATGGAGAGAAGGTACCAAACACGCATCACGCTGAATTTTTCTGTAATATCACGCGTCACGGACAATTTTTTTTTAACCAGTCACGCATCCTGTAAGTACGCTAAGCTAAGATTTCAACCTTTGCAGCCCTCGTGGCCCCTAGACTCAGAGATGCTAGCCTAAGAAAATCGAAATCCAGTTGTTCGCCAATTTTACCTTCTCGACCCTAAAAACGTCTTTAAAAGTATAACTCTACCGGTTTAACCACAAAAAATGCATCGGCAAATATTTAAAAAATTTTCCCCAAAAATGCCAAAACTAAATCGGCCAAACTTAAAGTGAGAACTTTCTTTCAGTTTTGGATTTTTTACGGGAACTTTTTTTGCGGATGGCGGAAAACACCATAAAAATCGCAAAAAAATTAAAAGCCGCAAAAATCTAGTGCCACACGGTAGGTGCCAAATGATCGCATGAAATACAGTCCGTACAAACAGATTGATGATAGGGAAAATACAATGCTAAAATACCTGTAAGTCTTTGTGGGCCCCATTAGATCTCGCCAGTGTGCAATGCCGTTTTCTTTAGCAAGGACCATGGCTGTCATTGGACCACTGTGTAAAGGAGAAAAATACATTTTATATGCATCAATTTCTGATCACCACTTTCTGGTGATAAACAGAATATAGTGAAGAGGAGGAAGTAAGTTATAATAAGGTCACGAGCTTATACCCGGCGTTGAATTCCGGTTTTTGTAGAGAGTTTAAGCATGACGTTTACGGCAGACGGCAAACGGCAAAGATGACCTCTGATTTTTTATTCTTTTCTTTTGATCCTTAGGGTGGCTCCATAGGGTAATCATTTATCACATTGAATGGTGTTTGTGCATTTGTTTTCACACCCAGTCCTTTCAAACTTATTAAATGTAATAAGCAATGATGATATGTTGATTTAATATCATCTTTGTTAAAATCTTGGCTTTTAATGTTGAATCATAAATGCCCAAACAAATGCGTTGTTTACAGTTTTTAGGGCTTTATTTGTGATTTTCTTGAATTTCCTTCGGTGAAATTTTCCAAACTTTTTATAGTACATTGAATACGGCGGAATACGAATTTTAAACACGAAAAAAGTAGTGTTTGTAAAGGCAGTTTTTTTGATATTTTCAAATTTATGTCTTTTACCGCTGCAAAAAATCTGGTCTTATAGATTTCCCTGAAAAACGAGCTCCGACTAAAGTAAAATATATACTAACAATCTGCCAAATTTAACGGAATTTCATCGAAGGAAACGCGAGAAAATTCATTGTCAGTTTTGCTTTCTTGTGCTCATGTTGACGTAATAAAATATCGAAAAACGCTGACGTTTTCCTTTGAGCGCGCGCAGATTACTTCCTCAGCGCTCGCGTGATCGTGAAACTATAGGGAGCCACCTTAAATAAATCACACAAAAACAGAAAAATGTCTCCTACTATTCATCGCAAATACAAATACTTTCACTCTATTGTACAGACAGCTAAAGACAGACGGCTAAAGTTTCATTTTTGCCGTTTGCCATTTGCCTTAAACGTCATGCTTAACCTCTCTTGTAATAAAAAGCGACTTGTAGGTGTTTAGTGGAAGCGCGATGGCCTCATGGTTAGTGCGCTCGTCTCCGCATCGAGCGGTCCGGGTTCGAGCCACTGCTGGGGTAATTGCGTTTTGTTCTCGGGCAAGACACTTTACTCTCACAGTACCTCTCTCCACCCAGGTGTATAAATGGGTACCGGCGAACTTAATGCTGGTAATAACCCTGCGATGGACTAGCATTCCATCCAGGGGGGAGTAGAAATACTCCTTGTCGCTTCATGCTACAGAAACCGGGATAAGCTGCGGCCTGCATCGTGAGCCACTTAGCTCGTGTGCAGACTTAAGCTTTTTTACCACAGGCATACGGACTTGATTAATACACAGTGCCCGAATGCGTGAGTGTTGAAATCGGGATACAAACACACTCAAATTGATTGCGGTAAAAAACAAAAACTTTCACAGTTCTAACGCCTCAAGGAACTGTCATCATTCCAAAAGTAAATGCGCGCGCGGCACGAAATTTTTGCGGGAGTTTATTTTTATGGATCAGCTATTTTCGTATTTTGCGGAAACTAATTTTTGCCATTGTGAAAGACTGGCTTTTCTTGGTGGGTATTAATTTTTGTGATTTTCAGGAAGTCGCGTTTAATTGAAATTACAACGGTTTTCGGTTCTGAGTTGTGAAACAACATGAAGAGATGTGAGGCACGGTTATCAGTGTCACTTTATTACAATTAAATTTCTCCCTGGTGTGGCTGAACGCTCCGACAATTGTGAGCAAAAGCTACGGCACCACTTGATGAATATCCCTCGAGGTTTGTTTCTGAACGAAAGAGACGTTTTAATTAATAAATGGCAAAAGGTGATGTTTGTATATGTGATGTTTGTATGTATAATTTCGCCAGTGGAGCAATTTTTTTGCGGAAACTTTTTTCGAGGGAACTTATTTTTGCGGATCGTGGAAAAAAACGCAAAAATCGCAAAAATTAAAATCCGCAAAATTTTCCTGCCACACGGTATTTTGAAGCCTCGCAAATTCTTTGATCTCGATCGACAGCCGTGTAAAATCAGAAACTTATAAAAGAAAAAGAGATTTCTTCTTGGTAAGAAAAGCTCAAGACTCTTAATGGAGCCATTCAAAACGGCTCTTTTCAAAGCCACCATAGCAACAAAATTCTTTTGTCATTGCTTTGTTGATAGAAAACTAGCAGTGGAAATAATATCCATATTGCGGATTTCTACAATACACATTTAACCAATATATGTGGATTTTCCAAAACAGAAAACCTGGATCCCTCATATCATTTGACTTTCTTTTGGAGAGGCACACGTCAGAGAAAGTAGCCTACAAGTCTGACTTTGAAACCTTTTGGAAAGTTTTCTTCCGAGAACTGTTGCCTGAATCATGAGCATTTTGCCTGAAAATGTTCCCAAATTTCTGAAACTTGGGGAGATGCACACCCCCTCCCATCCCACCCTCAGCCTGTACAAACTGAGTCCATGAACGTCCAAGGTAAGCAATGAGCTGTTAAAGTGATGAGGCTGAAATTAAAACTATCCACCATAGCCAGGCAACACAGAGGTATATATACATGTATGCTCATTTTCAATCTGTTACTTTTTCAAACTGAATTAAAAAAACATTAATTACCTGCTCATAAATCCAGTAAGCCTGTTGAAGAAAAAGCGCTCTGCAAGAAGAAGAAAAAGCAATGATGTTAGTAAACATTGATATGCTTTGTCTTTACTAGAAAATGCAAGAAAAATTTTGTTGCTATCAGATGGAGTATTACAGTCCCACTCTTCCAAATAGTAGCCTGCATGGAGGCTCTCATGTTTTGGGCCAAGGACATGAGAGGGACACATGAGATGAGCCTGAGAGTCAAGTTTAGAAGCCAACCCACGTCATTTGTTCTGCAACGCGCATTGTTGTAAAACTCTCTAAAATTTAATCATATCACATAAAAAATAGTTCTATAGTCATTAATTAAAAGTACTGATGCACACTCTCATGACATCAAGTAAAAAGGTCTACAATAGTGGGTTTATAATCAGAGAAACTGAAATCTTTCTTTAAGATCTTAATATAAATATATGCACCTGGTTCATATGGGTGGGTACGGGGTAGAAACTTTGTGTCTGAAACTTTGCAAGGCTTATGATCAGGAATGCATATCAACAAGGGGCTTATTATCAGGACTTAATGATATGACTCTGCATTTAATATTTTGCTAATAAGCCATACTTAGCCTTAGTAGCAAAAGCCCACAATTTTGCAGACATTGCATGCTGTCCACTATTATAGGCTCGCAACGCGTGCAAATAGCTCCAACTACAAATTATACCTTCCTACATGCATTCCTCCTTCTGCATACTCTTTTGTGCCAATAATGCTGGCTGATAATTTATTAATACTGGAGCGGAACACTGTGCGAGTAAAACCCAAAAAAAACCCTGCCTGGGCTTGCCACTGGGCTTGGGGAGAGAGATTTCCCTTCACCTTCACCTGTCCTCTTTATGTCAAGTGGCACATAAAAGTTCAATCTATTCTAAGTTGAACTCTTGGGGACACTAGTGGTCTTCCTCTGCCCCTGGGCATCCTCTTGGCTTTGCCCAAGTGCATCAGATTTTGCTCTCCTTGCTTACTGTGGTAAGCAAGGAAACCACAGTACAATGGCCCCAAGAGATTTTTGATTTCAAGTGCTGAAGGTTTCCATAATCAAGTGCCGTTTTAAAGGGATGGGTGAATAGCCCAATTCCAAACTCCCAACTTGAAGGACCAGGCAGGCTGCTCTTCATCAGGTGAGGCCTCTGCCCCTTGACCAATCTCACTGGCAAGGCTAGACTACCAGGAACTGAAGTCCCTTCCAGCAATAGCTCTTAACGACAACGTGCCAGCACAAGGTGAGGAGAGATCCATACATGACATTGACCTTTAAATCACAGTTCTCCCAAATTCCAAAACCAACAGAAAAGTGTGATTAAAGTCAGTTTTAATGAATACCTCTGTGTTCCTCATAAAACTTCTCTGCCTCCTCTCGGCGGAATGTTGTAACTTTTGATTGAATTACAAGAAATCCATTGTCCTTTATGATGGTCTTCACCTCCTATAATAGGTTATACATCAAATAAATTGATTGAGTAAATCAACTGGGCCATTAAAGCCATCTATCGTGAACCTCTGATGTCTTCTCACAATAATAAAATAACAAATAAAAACGAATAAGAACAAAACCAAAGCAGTTCTGAGGGTTTTTAATCTAATTGTGCCACTAGAACTAGCCTTGTACCTCTTAGGGCGTCCAGTCTCAAAAGGTCCACAGTGGGACGTTTTGCAGTACTTTTTAATGTATTGAGCAGAAAAAATATGACAGTCTTCTTATGGGAGTCTTCCCCCAGGATCAGTCATTGTGTGTCTGTTCATGATATTTTCAAAGCTTTCTAATTAAATACCGAAATTGCACTTTTCCCTAGCCTTAAATACTTAAACTGGTGAAATCACAACCCTTCTATATACCTCCAGCCTGAAACAGTACCCCTTTTAAGATGGAATTTATTATAGGGAGTGCCTCTCCTCCCATACTAAAGGATTATTAGGCAAATTGATAAATTGTTGTTTTCTTTGTCTCTTATTTGAAATTAATTGTAATCCAAACTCAACAAAAACAAACCTCTGCTTTGTAGACCACCTGAAACCAAAATGCACAGGGGCAACATGCAGGGAGCCCAGCGAAAATTTGACTCACGACAAGACTACTGTTTTGGACAAATTAAAACGCATAAAACCAACTGGACAGCTGAAGGAGACACATAAACTTGTAAATACTTCGATATACTCTATAAATCTTTCAAGAACAGTCTTATAATATATTTATATAAAATTTGACATTCAGATGCACCCTGGTTATCTTCAAAGGTTGAAAAATACAAAACTATTGTTCTTCCTTGGTGGTAATGTTTATGTACAGTTCATTTGCTGAATGATCGCACAACTAATATAATTACGTGTGCATTACAAATTGAATATCAGCAAACCATCTAAGACAGTCCACGTACCTTAGTTCTCATAGGATGCATCATTAGGTCTGGTTTTAAAATTGCAAGAGTCAGCTGCAGGCGGCTTCGAGTCATTTGTAAACAACAGAAACAACGCGACTTGATTGACTTGTACAACGTGCGACCAAAGACCTTCTTCTGTCTCTCTCGAAATCCCACAGTTAAGACGATCATTCTAGGGAAGCACGTCCGCTCAACAGTAAAAAAAATACTTCCTAAATCAGCTAAACAGGAAGATTTCCAATATATTTTTAGCGCCACGCGCGTGGAAGGCGTCACGCGACTAAACCGTTCCCAAAAGCGTTACTTTCACTTTCGTTCCCAGTTTTCCAGGGATCCGTTTCTCCGCTGGCACGTCACAACTCCTAGCTCCTTCTGCATCATAGATTCCGCATCAAAGTTTTTGATCATTCGATGTTCCAGAATGCCCCCGATTTTAGCAACAGGATTAAGAAGGCATAAAACCTGGAAGGAATATTTCTTCGATACCTTGCAAGTTGTTCATTTTCTGATAGCGATGGGTTTCCTCTGGGCTGGAGTTGTTGAGTTCATTAGAAATCCACCATACTTTGATGCGTATGGCGATGCCACCACATTAAATGATCTTCCTGAAGGATTGTTTGAGGTGAGGGTCACAGAAGATCTATTTATAAAACAATAAACTTTGTTAATTGTACGCCAGGTATAAATACCGTTTACAAATTGATTTTAGCTTCAGCGTAGACGCTGCGACGTCACTGCCCGTGTGAGCTTATTATGTGTACGTGGTTCTGGATTAGCGTGCACTGTCAGACTAAAGTGAAACTCAAGTTTAGATTCATTGTACCCCACTTATTCGACTCCATTCTTTCCATCTTGAAAAGTTTTGTATATTCTGACATTTTTGACATTCGAAAACCAAAACAACAACATATTATTAATAAATAAATTACCATTATAATAGTTATTAGCTTTCTGTTACATAACAAAGACCACCTTAGTGGGGTATACTCAGGTCCCGTCGCGCACGGAACGTAACGCGACGTAAACGCACCGTAACCCAACGCAACGCAACGCATTTACAGTTAAAAACATCCAGTTCTATAAGATTTTCTAGCTCCTCCAGGTCTCCGTAATCATCAATAATTTTGTTAATTAAAAGATAAATTTATTTATATGCAAGTTCCAAAAACGATGACAAGTCAATTTACCCTGCCAGACAATGAGACAACAGGACGTTACACAATGTTATTGTGGTGGAAAAGATTGAATTACACTCTCAGATTAACAAATGCAAGGAAGCAATAAACGATCTTTTCAGGCAATTAATAGCAATTCTCATTGAAGTTTCCTTTGTCAAAATTATTTATTATGAAGCTTTTTTTAAAATTTCAGACAGATCCAAGGAATAGCAACAGAGAGGTACACTTTCAAGTTTGATAATTAAGTTTTGCAAAATATTAATTGAAACCCATAGGTAAACCTTAAACATGGTCAGTGTCTTATTTCTCAAAAAATGATTTGATATGGAAGAACTACATAATAGTCTTCCCTATGGTGCTGAATGGGACACATTTAGAAAAGTATAAAGAAGGATTTCCATTGATATCACAGACAGAATCAGGGCCATAGTCTCCACATGAGAAGTGATTGACTTGGCCTTTTTGGAAGGCTGCAGGAGGGGTTCAGCCATTTCGCCAAATTTCTGAGTTTTAAATGTACTGGGGTCTACTCACATATATGTATGTATGTATTGGCATTATTGGGCAATCTAGTCCATAATTTTAGCGTGTGCCCACATATAACACCATAGATATTTTCACACTTTCCTAAACATTCTGATGATGTGGAACAAGGCATCCTTTTCCACAGAGGTTTATAAAAAGGGACTGATTATAGGGACCTCGTGATATCGCGAGGACTCTCATTTTTTACAGCTTAATAGTGGTTTTAATAGCCTTGTCCAGTATCAGACAAAACAGATTTTAGTTTACTTTTGACTGGGAAAACATGTGCATGTAATATTCCAGAACATATTCTTACCCCTCCCACAGGGAGATTTTTGGTTTGAACCTCCCCCCTCCCAATCCCTCTTGAAATTCCAAGTTTGGTTCTTACTTTAATCCTTTCGGAATTTTGGCCTTCAGTGTCTCGACCCCTCTCCCTTGGAATTTCCATTAACCCTCAATTTGGTGGGTATTGATATTTTCTGGAACCAGACAAAAAAAGGTGATAAAAAGTTTCAGCAAGGCAGTTTTCCCAGCTTCCATGTTTTAGTTCTCACCCCAAGTCATGTGGCAAAACTGGCAAAGTGAAGGTAACACAGCTAACGTTTTCTTATTTTTATGATTTACAGCAATCTCTCCGTCTCATGGATCTTCCAATCCTTTTTATGCTCTCTGTAAGTATGTTTATGTAGTCAAAACATACACCTGTCCATTTTCTGTACTGTGTTTCTAAGTGTAGTTCACTGAGGAACAATAATTATTATTTCAATCTTGCTACACTTAAAATAGCCTTTTCCAGGCATTCAGTTAGTTGCAATGCCTGAAAAAGGCTATATTACTAAGAGGTCATGAAAATCTGATCATAACTTGTGAAAACTAATGACTGAGTTTATAAAGACTAGGTTGGTGTATTGGTCTTGATAATGTATTTTGTGAGGTTAGAATACATGTATCTCGGCAGTCAGGGTCAGTCCATCTCATATTATTAGCATTCGAGAAAATGTCTGTACCCCCCCCCCCCCCAAAAAAAAATAATAATAAATGGCAAAAAAACCTTTAACTATAAAAAATAGTGATAAAATATTTCTAAGCATATTGAGACAGTTAAAAATTTTGTTAAAAAACGACGACGTTTCGACATTGAGCTAACATCATTATCAAGTCAAAATAATAGTTGATAAAGAATGTATAAATAGTCAGTAAAACAATAGTTCAATGAATGTGTTAAAATGTTTAAAATTAAACAAAGAGTTTCACGCGGATGGAGTCAGTTTGCATGTTCAAGCTTGGATTCCGTTCCTTTATGCAAAGCATCTCATAGACGAGGCAATCAAATTTCCCTTGGCACTTTCGGAGAATTCGAAACTGGCTTTCATTGAGGAGGCTTATGTCCCCATGGGCTTCCAAAAGGTGTTTTCCAGTCGCTGAGTTTTTATGTTCACCAATACGTTGGTGGAGGTGTCGGGCTGTGTAGCCAACATAATCTGCATCGCACAGATCACATGAAAATAAATAAACCACGCATTGTTGATTTATGATCGGAGGATTGATTTCTTTGGGCTTGAGATCTTGTTCCAGTTTCTTGCTAATAAATACTGGTTGTAGGGTAGTGCCAATCTTGTGACTGAGATCGTGCATTTGCCTTCTAACCTCGTTAGCTGATGTTTGGTCCTTGAAGGGGAGACTAACTCACAAGACACGGCCATCTTCCACTTGTCTTTCACATACACCGGATGAAAGGTTCAGGATAAATTTGTTAATGGTGAAATTAATGGTCGTTATTGGATAGTCAAGTTGAATAAAGATAGAGCGAAGTCTACTGCATTCTTGATTGAAAGCTTCAGTTGTAAAAGACAGGGCATATGCAGGATGAATCATTGTTTTGAGCAAGCAATGTTTGTAGCGTTTATCCGTGTGGCTTTGGAAATGCAACAGCAAGCCGGTGTTAGTTGGTTTTCTGTACACTTGTGTTTCAATCTTTGTTCCGTTCTTGATTATTTCCATGCCGATAAAGGGGATCTTGTTATCAACCGGAAGCTCCATCGTAAACGACAGGCTGGGGTGGAGGCCATTAAGGGTAGTCAGAAAATCAACTGCAGGATCAGTGCTAGGCATTTTGGCCAAGGTATCATCAACATATCTCTTGTATAGCATAGGTATCAAACCATTACGGGTAAGCTTGTCTTGAAGGTGACACATGAAAACATTAGCCATTAGAGGGCCAAGGGGCGAACCCATTGCCACGCCATCGACTTGCTCATACAGCCGGCCATTAAATTGGAAAAGCTGGTTAGTAGTGGTGATTTCGAGGAGTCTGGCAAGTTGATCCTTTCGTAGGTTAAGGTCATAGGTCTGGTTGAGCCAATCGCTGGCAAATGCTTTGTCAACTAAGATGTTGATAGTCTCATTTAAAGGTACGTTTGTGAAAAGGGATGGGACATTGAAAGAAACCAAAATGTCATCATCTCCAATGGGTGAGTTGCGGATTTCTTCAGAGAAACGAAAGGCATCGGTAATGGTGTACTCGTTAATAGAGAGTGGTTTCAGTTTTTCCTCCAACCATTTAGCCAGGTTGTATTTGTAGGTTCCAGTTGCAGTTGCATAAAGGAACGGAATCCAAGCTTGAACACGCAAACTGACTCCATCCGTGCGAAACTCTGTTTAATTTTAAACATTTTAACACATTCATTGAACTATTGTTCTACTGACTATTTATACATTTTTTATCAACTATCATTTTGACTTGATAATGACGTTAGCTCAACGTCGAAACTTCTTCGTTTTTTAACAAAATTTTTAACTGTCTCAATATGCTTAGAAATATTTTATCACAATTTTTTATAGTTAAATGTTTAGAAAAATCGCTTCTTATTTATATAAAAAAAAACCTTTTGGAATTCCCAGTTTAGCTTCATACTTTCCTTTAAAATTTTGGCATTTGAGATCCACTGGCCTCCATTACCAGCGTCTGTTTGGTAAAGGAGCTCACACTCCTCTCCGAAGTCTCTTCTTGAGGAGGAATGTGATCAGACCCACATGAGCCACAGAAATAGGGCCTTTAAGAGACCCCCAATTTTTCGACGACCCTACTATGGGGTCGGTATAGATATTTTCTGTTAAGTTCTGCACTTTATGAACCTGTAATTTAGTGCATGTGATCAGTGATAACATTTACCACTTAAGCACTAAATGATATTACTTAATTTGTACCTCAAGTTTGTTTAATATGATTGGTGATCTGTAAAATGTTCAAATTAAAACTAAATGTGATGATCTTGCAGAGCTATTTTATTGTTTCCTGGTGGTTAAAGTTCAAAGGGCTCTCATGGATTTTAACAGCCTGTATCACCCTTGTGTTGCTTTGTTTCTTCTTTGTTAACTTCTGGGCTGTCCAATATTTTAACTGGAGGTAAAAAATTAGTTATAATTACTACGCTTGTATTAATCTTTTCATTGATTGTCTTTTAGATGCAGTTTCAAATTTTTAGTATAGCCGATTACATGTCATCATCATCTTGGTTGTCATTGTGCATTCATGCTTTTGAGTATATTGTAAAATTGTGCAAGTGACCTGCCATGATTTCATGTGTTTATTCATTTGTGTTATAATTTTAGTAATAACTCCTTCTTTCACATATCGCCTTTTCTGTAGCTACATTTAAGCTGCACTGCATCCCATTTCTATTAAACCCCAGTTATTAGCTGCATTTGTTTGTTTCTATACCCTTTCCTATTATACTGTCTTCAGCTCATGAAATACAGTGAAACCTCTATTAAGCGGACACCCTCGGGACCTTCCCAAGTGTCCGCTTAATAGAGGGTGTCCACTTAATAAAGGTTTATAACAATTGTGCAATGTTGGTTAACAATTAACATTCAATGGTTCCTCTGTACTGTAATAAAGTTCCAGGTTGTTAACGAAGCTATCCAGGGTTCAAGTTCATCAGGCTTTCATTACCAAGTGTAATTTGTTTGTAATAATGTCCTTTCTATACAGCAGCAATAATACGGGTACATTTAATTGACTATTTCAAGAACGTAATCCAATGTCACATTGTCAGTTCAGTCCGGTGTCTGCTTAATTGAGGTTTTTAACAATAAAACACACCTCTTTCGGGGCAGTACCCAACCCCAAGGGTTTTACTCTCACAATGTCTCTTGATCTCCATCCGCAACCTATTTATAAATTAATGGTTGTTAACAAACTGGTATTAACAATAGCCAACCTGACCAAATGCTGAGAGATAGGAGGAGTTACAATACTCCTTGTCACTTCACGTTACAGAAACTGGGATAAGCTTCAGTGATGTGGGCCACTTTAGCAGAACGCAGACTTCTACCATTCATAAGTATTTAATTCAAAATTATCTTTGAATTTATTAGGTATTACAGCCCAAGAATGAAGGGACTTGAAATTCAAGTGTTTACTATCACCCTGTCACTCACGTCAACATTCACTGTGCTGTTTTACAAGAGAAAGAAGATGCCATTCAAATTTAAGGTCAAAATCAGAATATGTTCATTTTATTAATTTATAAATTAATCATTTTATAACTGTAGTCAAGAAGCCTCAAGGCAAAACTTATTTTACAGTTATAATTCAAGCTCAAGATTCTTGAACACTTCAATTAAACTAGTAGTTAATTGTTATCCCTCTTTACTTGGCAGGCTACTCTGCCCATCAAACCATATGGAAAGATCCATGTTTTCTGCAATTTTGCAGTGATGTTCGTGATTGTTTACTTCTGCTTAATGATGTGGTTCTCTAAGCTCTATGTTTCCTGGGCTTGCTTCAAAAACTACAAAGAAGTCCTGCTGTTATGTCAGAGCACAGACATGGTGAGACCGAGAATACTAATATACAATATTACTAATTTTTACCTTTTGTCTTGAAAAAACATATTGATTTTGTATTCACTGGCTGATCAGAGGGTGGGAACCTTTGGGATGATTGGCTTAATCTGGATCTATGTGCTAAGATCACACAGACCATGGTGTTTTAAACAGAACTGATGTATCCACTCTGGGAAAGGATTCATCATTTCCTTTGATGGCTATCATGATCCAAGTGATTTAGGAACATTGATCCTGATCCAGACCATTGCAAAGGTCAGGAGCAAGATAAAAGCCTCAGTAGGTCAGTAGATCTCTAGAATGACACCACAAGTTTCCAACTATAAGTCGTGCTCTGATCAGACTAATCAACGTGTTCTTGTATTCTTATTTGGTATTGCATTACATTTGAAACTTTGTTACACGTCAAGCAGTCATTGAAATATCTGCCATTTTCCAGATTTTTGCCAACCTTACCTCCCACTGACTTAAGGGTATTCAAATTTATTGCTTAACCACCTTTGCTGGTTACATACTCCTCAGAGAGACCCTTGGTTGGTCAGTCTTGCTAAGAGAATACAGTACGTGTAGCCTGGCAGCCAGTACACCTTGGCTTAATTAGCCTGAGAGGGAACTCCATTCAAGAAGCTTGCAAGTTGTTTTGAGCAAACTATGAATCAATATTGGAACATTACACCAGAGTGTTGCATAGTTCCCATCAGAAAAAGTTTTTGTTTTGACTGTATATGTTGTGTTACTCTGCAGGTTCAGTGTTACCCGTGCGACAGCTGTGAAAAAGACGAACTGAAGGAATGCGTCAATGAGAAACACAAGATGTTCCATTGCCAAGATGTTCAAAAAGAACAGGTCAGAATGAAAAAAAGGTTTCTAATGCAAAGAGTATGAATTCTGTTATACCACACCTTAAATTAATGAATGCTTTGATCTGATTTTCAGAGAGCCTTTTGCTTATTCAACTACAATATCAGTGTCTACCTCTTCCTCACAGGTACGATGAAGGATCCAGGGGGGAGGGGTGTACTCCCATATAAAAAGGTACCTCTTAGGGTGTTCAGGATCGAATGGTACACAGTGGGAGCTTTTGCAGTACCGTTTAGGGTAATTAGCTGAAAAAATATGACAGGAGATAACTGTGTTGTGTTGTTGGTACATGTACCTCTTAGGGATGAAAAACATTTCAAGCCACGCCTACGAAACAGTATCTTGGTACCTCTTAGGGGTCTCATCTCAAAATTTCCAATGAGCATCCCCATCCTTTTAATATGAAATTCCCCCCCCCCCTCCCCCTCAGGAAGGATCAAGTGCAGTATGTTTGTTATCTTTCTACAGTTTCCAAGAAATATAATTCTTTGATTCCAGCCTATATTTTATTTGTTGGGAGATGCAGGCGGGCCAAGTGGTTTGAGAGCTGGACTCCAGATTAAAGGGGTGTAGGTTCAAGCCATGGTCCGGTTCATTGAATGGTTGATCTTGGGCGAACAATGAGTTTACTTTCACAGTCACTCCTTCCAACCAGGCCCCAGTTGTTCAAAGGCTGGATAATGCTATCCACTGGATAAATGACCATCCAATGGATAAGTGTTAACAAAACAAACCATGATATCCACTGGAGACCACTGGCTCATGATTTATCTGGTGGATAGCATGTATAAATGGGTTTTGGCAAATTTAATGTTTGAGGTAGCCCCGTGATAGATGAGCATCCCAAAGTACTCCTAGCAGAGATGCCAACCTAAAATAATTTTTTGTTTGTTTGTTTGTTTGTTTGTTTGTTTGTGTGTTTTTGCCAAACTAAAGTAATTGAAATCCAGGAAATTACCAATTTTACTTCCAACCACCTGGAGATTCAGTCTGTATCCTGGAGAGTTGGCATGTGCATGGACTCAGTGCTACAGAAACCTGCGACAAGCTCCAGCAGTATAGACCACTTGGCCCAACATAAGCTTTATCTAGCGTTTTATTTTACGAATAATTAGTGATCCCAACGTGTTATTTGCTTCAATTTTCCTTGCAGTGTTTGCCTATGTTGGTGGTCTTGTGGTTTTTCTCAGCAAGGTTTTCACCATTGTCCTCCATTACACCTTTAGAGCCTTCTTTCTGTTTATGAACTGGTGTCGTATTCAAATAAGAGCCAGGGAAGGACACAGAGCTAGTGTGGACCTGCCCTACATTCATGATCACTCTAATGTAACAATTCAAGAACCATTCCAATATGTGGAAAGAACCAATGGCAATGAGAGTGAAGTTACAGACAATAATTGCCACTTGAACTCCAGTATTGACACATGTCACATAGAGGAAGGAGATCCGTTTGTTGATGCTGTTATATCATCGGATTACTTTCATTAATGGGTTGGGAGGGAGGTTAATGAGATTAGTGTTGGTAATATAACACACTCTTCTGATGTTTTAGGATTATTGATGCGCATTTGAACATATACGTATGGAATTTGCACACAACAAATCCATAATTATCATTATCATTATCATTATCATCATCATTATCATCATCATCATCATCATCATTATCATTATCATTATCATTATCATTATTATTATTATTATTATTATTATTATGCCCTGCAGAATGTACAATAGATTACAATGTACCCAGGACTCGCAAAGTGCCTCCAGTCATCTTGGACATGTACATATCTTGCCAGGCGAGTAACTTTTCATTGCCACTTGCCGTTGGGCAAGGGACCAAGCAAGTTGTCTGCTAGGTAATGAAAAAAAGTGAATTAAGACTTACCCAGGGCAAACAAAATTTGACTCAGAGTAACTTGTCTGAAGGGTGAGCTTGAAATCAAGTTTTTTTTTTTTTTTCCTGGAGCTGTGCCAGCTAAAATATTGATCATTTGTTTGCATTGCATTGTAGGATTCTTGCTATTAACTTGCCTTATCATCTTGCACTAGAAACAAAAAACATTTGCAAAAGTGGTGGAAGTGAAGAAGTATATATTAAACAGAAAAATTATCCAAATTAAAGAAATGTAAATCATGATCTATGATAACTTCAGGTGTACATAGTTTTAATTTAAAGTTGTGCAATACTCCATTTGTTACAAGAAATATACTAGTCTATCAATACTTAAGGAATTATTTGAATCAATATTTGAATAAGTTCAGATTAAAAATGTGAAAATTTTGAATATTGCATGTAATTGACCAGGATTTTTAAGCACAAAATCCACCACAAAGCAAATATAGTCCTTTGTGGCAATAATATCATTACTGACATTGTATGCCAAACAGGCCAAGAGGGTTTACAAATGAAATTAATCAAAGTAAAAAACAAACCAGAGTTAAAGTTTGTGAATAAACTCCTTTTACCAGCTAAGGTATTACTAAAAATATTAAGTCTATTTGAGCAAGCAACTATCCAGTTAGCTACAACCAACTATTCTCGGGGTGTGGTATTCTAAATACAGGCAAACCTCCAGTAACAGCCACCTATCTACAACAGCCACTTCTTTTTTGTCCCAGCAGACAGTCAATACATTCACTTTTATAAAGCCTCTCTACAATGGCAACAGCCACTGAAGCAAGTCCCAAATGCCAAAATAACCTCTTGACAATGGCCAGTTATACAACGACTGACAACTGTGTTTGCAAAACTCCATTTTGTAATGCAAAAAGTCATGAAATTTGATCTGGATCGCACAATGTTGGTCTCTGTTTCTGTTTGGTTTCTGTATCATTGATTATTTTGATTCTGTTACATACAATAACAGTAATGTTGCACCTGCCATAAAAAAAACGAGTGCCATTTTACACCCCTAACTCCCAACAACAACCACCTCTCCACAATGGCCACTTTCCTTTGTCCCTTGGGTGGCCATTGTGGAGAAGTTTGAATGTAGCTAACGAAGTGGACATACTACATTGTATAATTACATAATTATGTAATAAAATTATGAGGCCCACTGACAAATAGCACCAAGCAAGCATGGATAACTGTAGACTAAACAATATAACATGCACCTGGTTCCACAACTCCCCTTACATGTACATTTTAGACTGGAGGTATGCGCCACCAGCTCAGGGCAAAGCCGCATTGCCCACCACACCTACTGTTCCATCCCCAAAAATATGAATCCATGCAGAGCTTGGCCAGAGGTCAGCTGAAAACAGCCATTATTTTTTATTTTTTATTTTTATTTATTATTGTAAGCTACTAAAAAAGCACTAAGGATTTTGAAAAGATTGGATGGTATAACTATTTGTGGTATTTTGCAACTATCATTGTTTAAAATATGTCTAAAACTATGTTTAAAAAAATTGTGCTCAAAATAAGATTTACCATTAGTTTAGTGACGAATGACGAGAAAACAAAATTTCATAGTGAAATGTCTGCAGGAAAATGTAAATGAAAGTGTAGTTTAACTGGATCAAGCTACAAATAAAGCACAGGGCCCCAAAACTGTCCTCTAAATTGTTATTAATATTTTTTCATAAATGGAGGAGTAATTTCATTTTTGGGAGGTACTTGTCTAAGTTATTAAGAACACCATTTTGTAGAATTTCATTCAATTTTACATTAATTGTGTCTAACAAGTTCCTTTAACTTGTAAGGTTTGTCTAATCTTAATGTTTACCTAAAATAGAGTTCTTCAAATCAATGGAAAAACAGTTTCATTCATACAACAAATCATAGCAGACAATTGTGTAATGACTGCTTATGAATTAACCACTAGTAACGACCTTGAAAGTTGGTATCTTACTAAACATGTTTAGTTCATCCAGTATTTGTTCACAGAAATCTACTGTCACATCAGGACACTGCCAACACATTTAACTCTGATCCGTTGACTGAGAGTGTACTGAGTACAGAGAATCAACTTCACCACGGACAACGCTGTACTGTGCTTCCTAGAAAAAAAAAAATTAGGATTGTAGATGTACATTGAAGGGGAATTCAACTAATTGAATATTATTGAGTTAATGAATGGCCTCTTGCCCTGGAAATACCAGTAAAGCAACAGACCAATTTCAATATGTTAAAATTCAGCCTAAAGTAACAGACTTCAGCACAAGGCTCCAAGGAATAAATATAGAGTTTGTGGGGTTTATTCCCCGTAGCCTCGTGCTGAGGTCTATTGTTTTAGGCTGAATTTTAATATATTGAAATTGGTCTATTATCACCCGAAAGCTGTCCACTCACGAAAGGACAAAAGCAGAAAGAATCACTTTGAGTTTACAAATTATCCACTTATGGGAGCCAACCCTGACAACTGGTATTTCATGCAGTCCTCTATTTAAAGCGCCTGGCTTTCTCCTCCAGGCCCCAAGTTTCTTCTAATATAAGCCCTTCTTTTCTGAATTGTAGATATTGACCAAAGCCCACTCGCTAAAATAATAAATTATGCTCCCTCCAAACTCCTGTGAAACACCAGTATCTTAAAAAAATAATATAGTCGAACCTGCACTGACGTTCCATGTCCACAATGGCCACCTCTCTACAACAGCCACATTTTTGAGTTATTTTTTTGTAAAAAAAATACCTCTTAGTCGGCACGTCGGGTATGTTATGGACGGGTCAATGGGTGAGTGAGTGAGTGAGTGTGTGAGTGAGAGATGTATGTATGTCACACCAATCAGATTGGATCTACTATGAACAGCCAATCAAATTTCTTGTTGTAAAGGTAAATGGT